TCTGAAATCAATCCATCCTGCACTAAGTAATTAAAACACAAGCAGGAGGCTGGCTCTAGTTTCCTCATAAATAAACCAAAAATAATGAAATGTTGGGAACTGGCATTGACTGCCAAGTTTTATGGCTGTCCCCTAATTACTTTGGTACAACACAAACTTGTGTGTGTGTGTGTGTGTGTGTGTGTGTGTGTGTGTGTGTGTGTGTCTAAAATAATTATTTGATAACCATGATCATAGTTCCTAAAATAATTAAGAACTGTAATCATGTTTTGAATCATAGAAAAATAGCTTGATAAATGTTTGCCCTCCTACCCAACTAGGTAAACAAAAGAATGCTGAGTGTGTGTATTTTCCTGTCTACATGAATATTGATCATGAGGCAACTGGCCTGAAAAAAATAACTAAGAACTGAAAGCCTGAAAGGGCCTCTAACATCTTTACTCAACATGGGCTACCACCACCCTTTGGGGCCTGAGGTTGGGAGGGAGTCAAAGCAGCCTAAAACTTTAGTCTATAGTGTTGAGAAACCATCATGTTTTAAAAATCGTAGTTTAGATTCAGGGGGAACACATGTGTGTTTGCTACATGGAGATATCGTGTAGTTGTGGGAATTGGGTTTCAGGTGGCCCATTCCCCAGAGGGAAACCCTGCTTTAGACAATGTATATATACACACAGGTAGAAAACAAGTGGTCTGAAGGGCCAAGTCAGGCCGAGGGATCAAGGCCCACAGGAGACGTCAGAAGACAGGCACAGGGTAAGGGAAAGAGGCACATGCCTACACTGAACCAGGACAGGAGACAAAAGGCAGTCTCTGGGAACAGGGGTTCAGCTAGTTGCCACACTAGGGGGAATAGCGGGTTTAGAATTCAAGTCACAAATAAAGCTGCAATGTGGTCACTGAAGACCTTTTGTAGTTCTGTGGAAGTTGCTGCCGGGCAGGTGCTCAAAGTTATACCGTCTCCTCCAGAAAGTTGCCTACTCCTCCACAGTGAGTCTCCCACATCAGTGCTCAGACCTCTATTATCTTACCCACTACTACATCCTGCCATTGTGCCTCAGAGTGGGCTGTAAGCTTCCTGAGGACAGGACTCATGCATTTTCAAATATCTCTTCTTGGTTTATAGTACCATAGCACAAATCAATACTGATAAAATGCTTGCTGAATTGCCACCAATACATTATTCTCCTCCCAATATTAGAAATTCTGCATGCATATATTGGAATAACACACACAAAATGGGAGGAAGAAGGAAGTGATCTACTGTTTTCTTCTGGAAAGATCACTTAGCAAAGTCCATCTTCAAAGATCTGTTTATACTTTTTTTTAGTACTAATACTCTGTCTGTACTAAAGAAGAGAGTACTAATCTAGTACTAATACCCTCTTCTTTAATCTCCTTAGTGGTTTCCAGCAGTAATGAAGTTCATCTTGAAATTTCACTGTTGTATTTCATAAATGAGTCCCAATCTTGGTTAATGTTTTATACACAAAAATGCCTATACTCCGAGTATAGAGTAAAGTTGGCCTATTTTTCTATCGACAACTCAAAAAGAAAATGTTAAGCTCTATAATTCATTAATTTGCTAATGGCTTTTCCCTGTAAGTGGTAGTTTGACCCTGCCCAGCTTTTAGTGACAACAAAGAATTCATCAGGCTTTCTCTCTGCTCTTCATATTCAAAATTAATCATTCTATAAACTGATTGAAGAGAAATAAAGCATTTTTTGGAATAAAAGGCAATTTTCCATGTTAAAATATTCTGGGCAGGTTCAGTACCTGCCTAGCCTTTACATTCCTAAAATATAAGAAACTCATCTCTAGCAATCCAGTATCTTAAACTCCACTTACAAATCAGAGGGTTATGCTTCACCCTACAAAACCACTTATCAAAAGACTCAACCCAAGATTATTTTTATTCAGCAGCACTTACTTTCAAACCCATTTAAATTTAGATGGCATTTACACAGCTTTTCAGGAACCAGAAGAACTTTCTAAGAGCCATGAGGAAATGATGAATGAGACCAATTCCTTAATTTTGCAAGTGAGGAAACTGAGGCTCAGAAGGCCACATAAACTCCCAAAGCCAGCCAGGCTTGGTGGCTCAACCTGTAATCCCGCGCCTTTGGGAGGCTGAGGTGAGTGGATTGCCTGAGCCCGCGGGTTCGAGACCTGCCTGGGCAGCAAGACCTCATCTCTACAATAAATCAAAAAATCAGCCAGGCGTGGTAGCGCATGCCTGTAATTCCGGCTACTTGGAAGGCTGAGGCGGAAGGATCGCCGGAGCCCAGCAGGTCGAGGCTGCGGTGGCCGGGAGTGGCCACTGCACTCCCAGTCTGGGCGACAGAGTGAGACTCCAACTCAAAAAAAAACAAAAACAAAACTCCCAAAGCTGTATGATAGTAGCAAGGGCCTTCCCTCATGTCTAGGCCACCATTACATCTTGCTTGGACTGATGCAGGAGTCTCCTAAGTCCTGTTTTTATCATTCCTGCTACATCCTGCTACATCCTACTCCACACAGCAGCCAGAGGGACACATCTGCAACAAACACAAACTACATCACTCCTCTGCTTAGAAACATCTGGTGTCTTCCCATCTTCCCCGAGGAAAACCCAAACTGCACCACAGTGTACAAGGCCTACACATTTCTAACTACTCTCCTCTTCAGTCACTAGCCCCAACACCTGGGGACTTGGCCCTTGCAGTTCCCTCTGCCGGCAACCTCTTCCTCCAGATTTGTCCACATGACTCCCTCTCGCCCTTCTTTCAGGGGTCTTTGCAAATGTCACTTTACCAGAGGTGGCTTCCCTGACCACTCTACCTCCCATCTCTCTCTCCTTACCTGCTTTATTTTTCTTTCTAACACCTTTGCCACCTGACACATTATGTATCTGTTTATTGACTGCCTTTCCCCACTAGAACGTAAGCTCAGCAAAAAAAAAGGTCCCTGCTGGATCCTTGGCACCTGATATATGGCAGGCACTTGGTATTTTTGTAGAATAAGTGCTTTCTATGTGCCAGGTACTCTTTTAAGGAAGTGAAAGGAATTAATTTACTTAATCTTCCCAATAACCCAAGATAGGCCATTAGCATCATCACCATCGCCATCATCCCTGGGATATAGATTTAAGAAACTAAGACACAGAGAAGTTTCATAACTTTTCCAAGATCACCCAGCTAGTTAATAGTAAAGTCAGGATTCGAACCCAGGGCAAAGGCTCTTTAACCACAATGATATATTGGTCACCTTAGCTTAGCTACTGACAAAGAACTAGCGAAACTTAATGCTTCTTCCCTATACCAGACTCAGAAATTGAGGTCAACCAAAGTATGCTTTCAAATGTCAATACTTTCCCATAACTGTCTAATATTTTAAGATAATCAGTAAGGTGTGATTTTGAGCTAAGACTGGTAAACAAGAGCAAAGATGAGTGCCCCACGGGTGCTGTACTTCAGCCGCTAGTTCAGAGAACCACTTCCACAGAGAACATGACTGTGGCTTACAGCGCGTGCAGGTCACTCTCCCTGCTCGACTGAGATTACCATGATGAGCTTTGGTCCATAAAGGGAAAACTAAGACACAAAAGCCGCAGTGATGTTCTAAGACACGCAGCCTGTAACTGTGGCTGCAGGAGAGCCTCTGAGGGCCCCTCTGGGTCTGCAAGTCACACATGCTTATTAGTGTAGAACACCCAGGTGATTCACGCAATGGAATGTTTAAGCCAAGGATGTCATCTAATAGAGGGTATGTTGATACGCCTTTGCCTGAGAACTTACATAATCATCCTAATGTGGAAATGCCATAAAGGAATGTGTGCCTTGGAATAAGAGAGGGGTGTATCCCCTGGGAATAACTTCACAAAGGATATCAGGAGATTTTCGGTGAAAAACATCCAACTGCAGACTGGGCAAGTGACATAAGCCCAGTGAAGGCTTTCTGAGAAAGGACAGTAACTGTGTCCAGTTTAATCCAGTAAGACTTAGCCTGACTTCGCCCAAAGGGGCCTTCAAGGACCCCCAGACCTGCCTTTCCTTCCCCAAGGAAGAGAGGCCTATTCTGGGTCTAGTCTCCCTCATTTGAGTCCTCACTGCTCATTTGAGTCAAATATTTATTTCTGCAAGCCTTGAGACCTTTCATTCTTTCCACCCTAGAGAGCAGAATGAATTTTTCCTCCTACTCTGTCGTAATTCTCCGATCGAAATCACGCCGAGTCTTCCGCTCTGGAATACCACCCCGGCCCCCATCTTCGCGCGGCCTCGCCTCCCACCTGCCCGCAGGACGTGGCAGAAGGCAGGAGGTTAATGGTTAGGAGACTGGAAGGGAGGGGCAGGGTGTCACAAGCACCTGTCACCTGG